GAGTGGACAGCGATTTCGATATGTAAATTAGTAAACGAGTGAACGTGTTATTTTTTTTCTTAAATAAAATTAATTTTTTATGACAGGGGTCTTTTATATTCATTTTTTTTCAGCAGGTTGGCCAAGAGACTTCAGAATTTCATGGGAGGTCGAAATCAGATTTCTGGGGCACTCGTCTAGATTTCCTCGGGATGAATTTTCCGGATTACTTTATCGCAAATCCTGGTCCACCGATGGACGGATATCGTCATTGTTCCTCGAGGACGAATTCGCCATTGCTTTCGGGACAATCGCCCGCGAGTTTGGCCCCATTGTTCCTGGTCAAGGAGGAGCCGTGCGCGAGTCGACTCGAAAACGCTCGTCCTGGAATAGGTGCACGCGAACGTCTTAATGGTCCTTCCGCGGGGATTCTATGGAGCCTTTAAATAGTTGTACTCGTCCCCATTAAAGACTGGTCCACCGAGGGAAAGAGGAAGCTCTCGAGAGATCTCCCCGTGGAAAGGACTATTTCGGAAGGAGCGGAATCTCCGGAGGGGTTGACGCGATGCGGAGGACCTCCGGATCTTTCCGCATCGGGCATTCCGCCGGGGATTGTCTCCGAGCCCGAAAAGGGTCACTTCGTTAGGGACAAGAAATTACAATTATTATCGTACGGAATAATAAGCCGCCATTGTGCCGAGAACTTTTCTCCCGGGTATTGTCTCTCCGAGGGGTGGATCGAGGCGAGCCGGGATCCTCGGGGGTGGAACCCTTTTGGCGGGACTTCTTCAGGAAGTTATTTTCTATTCCCCGATTGACCCGGACCTGCCTTCCCTGCCCGAGTTTAATTGCCGTCGCCAAAAGTCACTTATGATATCAAAATTCGAAGGTACCTTCATTTTCATTTTAGTAGCCCAAGACCTCGACCCCCTGATTTAGTAAAACCTATCACCAGAACAAGTACCTTGATCGAGTCTATGGCATCTAGTATGTAATTGCATTCCCCCTAAATGACCCTAAGGTACCCACTTTCACTATTAAAATTCAAACCTTTCTTCATTTTTATTCTATCAGCCTAACATAGTAAGACTCATTGTCAGTGCAGGTGCCTTGATTAAATCCTAGGTAACCGATGTGCAAACACATTTACCTAAACTTCGCCCAAAAACTGTCCATTTTACCTCTTAACTCTATTTTCAAATGAAGAATCTTCATTTCACCAGACCTAATCTATTCCACCAGAACCCTCCACCAGAATAGATATCATAATTGAACCTCACATTATCCCCGTACGATTCCACGTTACCTGAATTTCTATTCCACTTTCTAATTACATATCCCGTTTCTAAATTAAAAAAAAAAATCATAAATCCCAGTCCACATTAATATCGAATTTTTTCTCGGCATTTGGCACCCCGGGCTTTGGGATGTTCTGGCTCGGCTCTCTGCGAGATATCCGAGAATCCGATCGCGCCTGCTGGGGTATCGTAGACTGGAGGAAGGCTTTTGATTTGCGACGACCTCCTGGGGCACGTCGGCAAGATCGGCGCCGGATGCAAGAAGGGTGCACTGATTATGCCTTGCCGTATCCACGTGTAATCACCACTCGCCCCCTCTGTCTTTCGGAGCGCCCCTCTCATCCGAGGGCTTTCCGCGCCTCCGACTTGTGCGCCTCGCCTCCACCGTCTGTGGACCAGTCGCGGCTCTCTATTCAGCTCTGTCGGCTTAGACTTTCGACATCCACCGGGGTTGATTAAGCTCCTGGCGAGGTGATGATGTCGCCGGGAAATAAGCAGGGGTTCCCAGTTTGCGCGACCCCGCCGCCCGGGAGTTTCCCGAACTCGTTTCGCCCTTTAATCACTGGGAAATGAGGAAACTGGCACGAAAGGCCCGAAAGGCTGGGGATTTCTTGCGAATTTTGTGGCCTCGTTAACGGCCCTGAATGGATCCGAAAGTTGGCTCGGCGAACAGATCTTTGCGCATTTCGATGTGCGTCGAGAGCTGCGAGGAGACGCCCGAGGGACGCTCCGGATTAAGGGGAGGAAATTGTCCATTTCTTTTTATACGTCTGTTAAATAATTTCATGGGCAGCTCGAGGCTTATAAAACGTCCGAGAGCGATTATTTCATTGAGGCAACACAATTATTTCGTTAAGATAAATTTAGAATAATTCTGGATTTTCACCGGTAGTCATGGATTTTTGGTCGGGCTTGAATCATGGCGGTTCGATCGCGAACAGGTGGAGTTAACACCTTTCATTTCAAGAAACGATTCACCCCTCGTTAATTATAATTAAAGTAGGAAATAGTCCAGAGATTCTACAAAGTCTTCATAATTCTCGTCTCATTATTTCCCCGGAAAATTTGGAATAATTTTCAATCTTCACTGATAGTCATGAATTTTGGGTCGAACTTGAATAATAGCGATTCTATCACGAACAGATCGAGTTAACACCTTTCATTTCAAGAAACGATTCATCCCTCGTTAATTATAATTAAAGTAGGAAATAGTCCAGAGATTCTACGAAGTTTTTTATAACTCTCGTCTCATTTCTTCCCCGGAAAATTTGGAATAATTTTCGATCTTCACTGATAGTCATGAATTTTGGGTCGAACCCGAATCATGGCGGTTCGATCATGAACCAGTGGAGCTCGTTAGCGAGCCAATGGCGGACGATAGAAATCTGCTCCTGGTTTTCTAGACGAACCCGATGGGTAGGCTGCGCGTGTACGGAATATGAAGTGGGTACCGGGGAAACGAGTCACCATGAACGATGGAAAGGAGAAAGAAGGGGCTGAAACGCCGGGATCGAATCGTAAGAGGGTGACGGCTGTGCTACTTTCTAGTATGCACTCGACCTCCATGATAAGCACCCGGGTGGCATGCTGCACCACGTCGAAGTTAATTATTATAGAGGCAAAGATAAAACGAAACAAGGCCCGAGGCTGCATCGCGCGAGTGCGGGCGAATATGCGCCAGATGATTCGCCCTTAATATGCAGCGCTGCAATCCGAGGGCGTTTGGGATATCGCGGAGTTAATTCGCGAAAGCGTTCTCGAGTACTCGTTCAACTGAGATTCCATCGAGGGAATTGCACATTTCCCTGGTCGCTTTATTTCTCTATATATTTATTATCTAATTAACAATTTTGAACGCGCTCCAAAAACCGTGAAATTCAGTAAAAAAGAGGGGATCTCTACTTGTTTCATGATCAGCTGATTACGTCAAACCATGATGAAGCACCGCGTTGCAATTGTATCGCGTTACAATTATAACATCGATTGAAGCGAAACTGCAGTAAATTGTACCTCGGTACAATTGTAACATCGATATAAACGAAACTAAAGCACCGTGAGTAGATCTCTGCGCGTTTCATGATCAGCTGATTACGTCAAACCATGATGAAGCACCGCGTTGCAATTGTATCGCGTTACAATTGTAACATCGATTCAGGCGGGACTAAAGTAAATTGTACCGCGGCACAATTGTAACATCGATTCAAACGAAACTAAAGCACCGTGACTAGATCTCCCCTATTTGTTTCGTGATCAGCTGTTTAACGCCACTCCGTAAACAACAAGAGCGTCAATTTTCACAGGGCCTCCGCGACTGCCAAAGATAGAGCACGCAAAGTGGGTGTCACCTCTCGCACGAAATGAAGTACTTCCAGTCACGGTACTTTAGTTTCGGTACGGCACAATTACCGCGTCGCTTTCTTGCCGGTCCCTCGTCATCGCGCGTCTCTCTTTCCTCGGCGTCTCGTTTCGTCCCGACTCCGGCCCCTGTGAAGTCTGAAGTCCGAATGTTGACCCTGTTCCGGGGCGCGTTTGAAGCTTTCAGAATAAAAAGAGAAAGAGAGAGATGTGGGAGAAAAGGAGGGTTCGCGCCTTCCACCCGCGACCGGCGAGTGCCCTCCTCGCGAAATCTGGAGCATGCTCTCGGGCTCTGCAGGAACTTCCTCGGGCCAGCCTCCGAGCCACACCTCGGAAATTTCAAGAAATGGACCGAAAAGTCACGCCCCACTTTCCCCCGTGGATATCCCAGGGAATGCGAAAGAATTACCCGGAAATCGCCCCGATTTTTCTTCCCGCGAAAACGGAAACTTTGGCCGGGTAGAAACCGCGTGCTCCAATTTTTCCCAATTTTTCCCAATTTTTCCCTGGCCACTCCCGGGCTCTGAAGTTTAATCACGGAAGTGCGGATGAAGTGGGGACTTCTTTGGTTTTAGGTTTATTCAGTGACGGATGGTCATTCCTGGGTTTGGTATTTTATTTCCTTTTCGAGAAATTTGGATCAAAAGTGCAAACGCGTGTTCTGGTATTCTGGGACGGAAAATAACCGGAGGAACTCGTGCGCCATTAAAAATGTTTGTCGTATGTATCTTTTGTACAGTGTTATATATTGAGATTACCAATTTCATCTGACGATTTGAATTAGTATATTACGTTTCTACATTTACGAACCACTGTCGAATTTTATGACATTTTACCGACAATTGTTTAGACCAGCTTGTAACATGATATTTCAGGCCTGTATCACTAAGTGCATCTAGGAATTTATTAGTAATATAATATACCGTAGCTGAGTTTACTTCGTTTCGCTTTTTTATCAGTGTACGCAGTCGGGTGACGGAAGTTTGTTATATTGTTGCCGTCCGTTCTGTAAATACAAAATTGCAAATAAATTGACGAACGTTTTCACGGTGCCGTTCGCGCTCGAACTGGGTCAGAAAAAATTTCTGTTCTCGGGCACATCCGAGGAACTTCGAAAAATGAGGCGGAGTTTTGCCTTCCCTCTTTTATTTATTCACTACGATTTCAACGAGATTTAACCGTGGAAATTTACTCAAAAACTGGAATTTTTAGACCTCGGTGGAGAACGAGATCGTTCGAGTTCCGTGCCGTTTTTATGAAAAGCCATTACTGGGATGAGATTGTCATGGTTTTTTTCGGACGTAATTCCTATCACTCGTTTCCTACCATTCAACATTTTCAACGGTTCCCCGTTTCTTTCTGTTCCAGAGGGATGCTCTTCATTTGGAGCCGAACAACGTGGCGAATTGCGTGTCCAAGGGCAAGTCGGAGGTAAGCCTGATTAAATTCGTGCATCATTTCTCTGGCTCGTTTCCTTCGAACTTCATTTCGCGTCTTTCCTCGCCTAACCGAGAGTTCTCGCCGGCGAATTCGACAACCTAAATTAAACTTAAATTAAAATCTGGAAAAGAACGCACGAGAGAGAAGAACTTATGGAATAAAATTCTCTTGGTGCAATCTAGAGTGCACCGTTTAATCGATGCTCCTGATTCGTGTGCATACTAACTAATTCCACAAATTTCAAAAATTGAAAAGACAAGCTAATGTTAAATTTCCTAATATCTCCATACGTCACCGTAAATTAATTATTCGCAAATTAAGATTCGCCGGATGCGAGGCCGATGCAGTCCAGAGTGCACCGTTCTATCGATGATTCGTATGCATAATAGGTAATTTCGGAAATTTCAAAAATTGAAAATACGAGCTAATGTCAAATCTAACATCTCGATACATCTCCGTAAATTAATTACCCGTTAATTCACCATCACCGGGGAAATCAAGACCGAGTTAATTCGCAGCTGCAATCGTCGGGTGCAGAACTGCACCATGCACCCTTTCGGCGTATGCAAATGCGGAAAGGAATGCGGAATATGCGAGGCGAGTCATCGAAATGTGGATCAGAGTCCTCCAGGGGAATTCTAATTACCTCGGTCCAGGTCGGCAGGTCTTTTCCGCAGGTGCATCGGAGATTCGCCGGATGCGAGGCCGATGCAGGCCAGAGTGCACCGTTTTATCGATGCACTTGATTCGTATGCATCGCGCGTAAACATCGGAGGTGTAAGGTCGTCCCGAACCGCACCAATATTCCGGACGCGTGACGGCGATGCCAATTTTTCCGCACACCCGCGGCCGCGTAATTCGCATGCGGAACCGCGCGGCCTTCTCGCTTTTCTCCGCGAAACATTTGTTCCGCTTCGTCACCGTAAATCTCGAGTAAAGAGGAACGACCGTGCCCCGATAAACCCTCAAACGTCGGCCCGAGTTCCTTATAGTTTCCGATTGTTGATGCCGTCGTAAAAACGCTCGAAATCGTCCATTTTGCCGAAGGGCCCTCCCCCTTCAACTTTGCGCCCTTTTATGCAATGAACCACCCCCGCGTGCACTTGGTACTTGCACGAGAATATATAGTTCACGCGTGGCCGAGGTTCGGAATGTCTCGAGAATGGATTTTTCTTTCGAATCTCGCAAATCCCTTGTACTCCTCGAATGCGAGATTCCTACTTCTGGAAATTGCGAATGTATAATGAAAATCGCGGCCACTTTGAAGGCCCAAAGTGCGCCGAGAAAAATATTCCATTGCACCAAAGAAATATGTTGTTAATTCGAAGGTTAATTACTCCATTTCAATACACTCGAGCAAATTCGATGCAACGTTTCTTCGAAATTCTGACAAATTTGAGAGTTTGAGGGAAATAATTCGGTTTTTTGAATTAAAGTAATGTTTCTTCGGTACGTGACATATTTTTTCCTCGGTGTAGGAGCTCTATTGTATAGAAGTTACCCGGGGAAGAGAAATCTAGGACCTGAAGAACTTAAACGTTTGAAGCTTGAAACGATCTCGAGCGAGGTCACCGTGGAGTAAAACTTGACCTAGGTCAGCCGGAGAGAATTCTCGCGTCGTGTTTCATTAACGAGGGATAAATTATGATTAACCTTAATCTCCTGATTTTCAGCTCTTCGACTGCCGCAATCACATCCGCGTGATCCAGCCGATGGGCGACGGAAACCGGCTCTACATATGCGGAACGAACGCTCATTCCCCGAAGGATTGGGTGATCTACGTGAGTATCCTACCTCGTAACTTAGGGTAGAAGTTATTCCCGCCACCTTTCCCGAGGCCCGTTCCCATCGGAAACGATGCCGAAAGAATATTTAGCCCGGCGATGCGCGAAGATTACGAGTCCCCAGGGAACCGTAGAGCATTTCCGTAACGACTGGACTCTTGCCCTTTTTCGGGAACGGCCAATCTTCTTCTCGGGGCAGTGCCCGAGCAAAGAGAATATCTGCAAACGACTTTCCACAGCTCGGTCCCGGTCCTCGTCCTCGTCGGGCGAATGGTCCCTTTGGGCACTCTTTCGACATCCATGTACCATCGCATTATCTTCCCCTCCACCTCTCTCGGAAAGAGAGTCGAGCCTCTTCCTGGTCCACTTCCACCCAAATTTAACATCCACTTTTTCCCGAAATTTTGAGAAAACGCGCGGATCGCCCCAAACGAGATGTCGACTTGAATCGTTTATTCGATCCTAGCCAAGTTTCCCCGGAATTTACGTTTTAACAGTTTCCGGGACGAGTCGCGTTTATATCCTGTCAGGACCTTGAAAATCGGGAAATCATTTCGGCCTCTTGCTCGCGAAATGACGTTATTTGATAATACAATTTTTTCCCCAATTTTCTTTCAGAGCAACCTGACCCACCTGCCTAGGCACGAATTCGTCCCTGGTGTAGGAATGGGCATCGCAAAGTGTCCCTATGACCCATTGGACAATTCCACAGCCGTTTGGGTGGAAAAGGGAAATCCTGGTGACCTGCCAGCCTTGTATTCCGGGACAAACGCTGAATTCACCAAGGCCGATACAGTGATCTTCCGTACCGACCTTTACAACCTCACCGCAAAAGAAATGGTCTTCAGCTACAAGAGGACCCTGAAGTACGACTCCAAGTGGCTGGACAGTGAGTACCCTCCTTTTTTACCTTTCAGGATTCATTGTTACTCGACCTCGCCCCCCTTTTCCGTTTTCCTTTCCTTCAATGACCGCGTAAAGAGACTCGCCGGTAACAATACATCCTCGCCACAATGAGAGCTCATCTGGGAATTTTAAACAATCTCCCAGATGCCAGGGTAATTATTTTCATGAATAATCTCGGGGAAATTGGCCGTTTTGAAAATAAAACCTGCAAAATGGGGAGGAAGGAGTTAACCCCATTTAAGGGAGGAAATTTAATTCCGTGAAGATTGTTCTGAAAGATTGCTCTTAAGGATAATAAGCTCCGGGCTTAATACAATATAAATTGTTATAAACTGGTAGGTCTTGCCCCTAATTTTTAGTCGTAATGTGGGTTATTTAAAGGGTTATTTGCACTTACTTTACGGGGATAGTAGCTAACATTGGAGACGTTCTTAAGGAAATACTTCCACCTTCGGAATAAATGTCCCGCTTTTAATAACCCCGCTCCCGGGTGATAATAAATCACGGCGGCTTTCTGTCCCTCTCTTCCTCTTTGTTAACGAATTCAGAGCTTCGAGTGATACCCGTTCTGCCAACTTTGCAACACTCCCCAAAGTCGCCTCTTAGTCGACTTTTAGCCGCTGGTTAATTGCGTCCGACACTTCGGGACAATAAAGACTCCATTAGGCACCATTTGCTCTTTACAATAAGTGATGGGGGATGAGTGAATCGTTTCAGGGTGCCTTTTCCTTAAAAAAATCTCGCCAGAGGACACCCACTCATCAAAAAGTATAACTAGAGCGAGTCAACATTTCGTGCACCTATACTCTACAGGGCGAATCTACTAACAAGGAAAATTGCGACTAATTTAATTGCGTTACTTCTGTACATGTAAAATGCTCCCTAAAAATCTGCGAGAGAATAGATCCGAAATGATCCTTCGATAATTTATAATTAATTAGTCTTCCACGTCACAATTATTATTTCTTTTTTACCGAATTAGATTCTATCAGTGCTCAGAAGTGCCAGATCCAATTTAAAAATTGTAAATTAACAGCCCTCTCCGTCTCGAGTGAACACCCCCGTTCGAGGCACCTCTTTCCTCCATTATTAAAAAACAAAATTATGCCGCGTGAATGAAAACTATGGCAAAATTAACTCCGCTGAATGCTTCAATAAGTTTCCCTCGTCACAATTACTATTTTTTTTTACCGAATTAGATTCTGTCAGTGCTCAGCAGTGCCAGATCCAATTCCAAAGTCGTCAAATAACAGCTCTCTCCGTCTCTAGCGAACATCCCCGTTCGAGACACCTCCTTCCATGGAGGAATCCATATCCTCCGTCTTGGAAGCGACGTCGAAGAAGTTGGACTTACCCCCCTGGAGGAAGGGTTGAACGTCCCGGGGCCTCGTTTAGTACATGCTCATAAGATTAATCCGCCCCTTTTCCGCCCGATTCCGTGCTACTCGATCGAGCAGTTCCGCTCGAACAGTCTCTACGACGAATCGCCGACGTGGAACCGAGTCTCGAGTTAAAGTCGCCGACTCGGTCCTCGTTCCGGAACACTGGCTTCGAATCCGATCCGTAATGCATTTTTTCGTCGGTTTTTGCTGGCCCGGCAGACAATAAAGTAATCACCTCCCGAGAGAGCCGTCTTTACAGCGCTAATGTAATTTCGCGTTACCTCGCCCGGTACACGTTACTTTGGAATTTATTTACGAGGCTGAATGACTGCGGCAATGATTATCGGCAGATCTTTTTGCGCGGGAAAGTACAGGTGGTAATGATGGTTTCCTGTCGGTCTTTTTGCCCGAGAAAGTATAAGTAGACGGTGGAAACAAGGAGGATGGAAAATCGAACGAGTGGAAATAAATGTCGGTATATGTTATAAGGCTTAACATATACTCCCTTTTATATATATATTTTTTTTAAAGGCTGTCCCTTGTATTATTTACTAAAATGTTAATTATCCGAAGTAAAGGGTTTTTTTCAGAATTTAGTTTACGGTATGGTGCAATTTCGTGGTATTACATTTCCGCGAACTTTTTTACACTGGATGGAAAAACTGGGAATTTTTAATACGTATTAAGGAACTTCCAGCTGCACCGGGTTTAATTCACCCCGGCATGGGTTACGGTGAAACCTGACCATGATGTGATGTAATTCACGGTGGAAGAAGGAAATTTCATTCAGAGGGAATTTTTCGCTTTTAGCTTTTGGCTTAGTAACCTGCGGCAACTCCCGGCTAATTCCATATACAGTTCGAAATTAATTCTTTCGATATTTTTACCACTCTTTTCCGTGCGGTTGGAAAGGCTTTATGAGATGAAAACGGTGTTCAGATTTTTGTAATTCGACATTCAATCAAATCTCGACATTGGACTCTACGGAAGAATTTGCTAGCAGTGATGGTTTCAAGTTATCAGAAAAAATAATATTTAATTGTAAGGGAAGTTTTAATTGGCAAAGAGACAGCCCATCTCGAGTACGTTAGTCGCCCCCGGGTTTCTCGTAATTCACCCCTTGCCGGTATTCCGGGGGTATAATTAGCTATTTATTTCGACGTTTAATTTCGCGAGGATCATTTTACCCTATTGCCCTCTCCCCTTGATTTCTGCCTTTCCTTCACTTAATGTCAGAGGCTATTATTCTGTATACGCCGAGTTTGCCTATTAATAAAGGATTTCACGCCACCCACTCTGCCTCCCTCGAAATTAATTAAATCTCGCCACTCGAAAATTACCCCATGTCGAAATTAAACCAAAAATTACGTTCAGCCCGTTTAGCACGGTACACATATACTTCGACGTACACGAGGCGATTGCGATAATTCGCTGTCTGAAATAAAAATCCAAAATGACCAATCGTTAAACAAAAGTAGAAGTTGCCATTCGTCGAAAGAAACATCATTAAAAGTTATGATTCGTTGGATAAAGAATTAAACACCACCAGTGGTTGGGAAAAAAAGAAATGAAGTCACGAGACATTGCCTGCGCAGGCGTTGAAGTCCCCAAAAAGAGACTTCCCTCTCCTCGCTTTCTCGAGTCGTGAAGATCCCGGCGAAGGTTTTATAGCATCGAAAAAATTCTTTCTAATTATTCAGGCAAACTCTGAAAAGACGGCAGATAAGGTTTCCCTATAAATATGCCCAGGCCAAGTTTTCTGGGGCCTGGAAATCCGCTTTTCGCGAGTTGGCCAGCCGAGGGGGATGATTGGCCATTTGTTTCGCCGTTTAATTTCTCGCTGGCCTTCTGTCCTTCCCTCCGTCCTGTACATCGAGTTTGTCTATTAGCAAAGGCGTTGATTAAATGCGCGAGGAGAGAGTCGAGAGACGGATGGGGTTCTCTCCTCGTCGCAGTCTCTAAAGTGCCTACAATGAAGACTGATGCGATCCGGCCTCGGAGAAGAGAGAGGCTCGCGCGAACTAAGGGGATGAGAGAGAGGGAGCGACACGCGGGTGGACGCGAGAAAGCGACGGAGAGAACGGGAAAGAGAGAAAGAGGGCGAGGAAGAGATGTAACAAGCCTTGAATAACAGGCTGACGAGAGCGGCCGTCCACTTTCATGGGTCCTCGCACATGCGATACGACCTTTACGACGCCGAGAGAAGAGTCGCGTGCCTTGTCAGCCGCTTCTCCGTTAACTTAACCGGCGCGTTAACTCCGCGCAAGACTCGGCTAAATCACTCCCTGGACTCTCCGCGTCTTCCCGGGTGCTCTCAAAATCGAGAACTCCGAAATTTAGATACTGATTAGGTACTGTCTTCGATAACAGTAATTTCTTAAATATTTTTCTTATATATTTAGTTTTAAAATAACTATTATCATGTTATTTTCTGTTTAAGAATGTCTATTACCGAGGCTAATTGATATAGCAGTCCTATCTTTCTGTATTTTCCAAAGTATATCTCCCTGAGCTTATGTATAATTTCATTCCTGCAATGTATGGAATGTTGTAACATTCAGTAAATCAATTTTTTATGACTAAAAATTATAACGGGTAGAGTGAAAAGTGAATATTCAGGGTTGGTCTAATTGCGCAGGTGAATGTTTTCAGTACTGATTTTTAAAATTGTTTTAATTAGAGCGCCTTATTCGGAATGAGGGCAGAGTTTAAATGCGACTTCAGGAGATGAATTTGAATGCGAATCCCGTCGCGCTGTTTTTCGCGTTAATCCGTAAAAGGAACCGGAGGGCGAAATTTGATTAGACATAATCATAACCAGTCTGTCGTTCTTTCTCATCTCGCCCCGACGTTTCGCGTCCCTCCGGAACAAAACATCCGGAGGATCGACTCTCCCTCTTCCTGAACGTCAGGACGGGAAGCAGGACGAGTGCGCAAGTCGGATTAATTTCGGAATGAGACGCTCCAAAAGTGGACGAGGGTTTATTCGGAGGGTTGAAGGTTGGGTACCGATTTAATTGGCTCTTTCAACACGCGAAATCGCGGAGCGACCTTTGCGAGGCCATTCGTCCCTTTGCTCCCTCGGTCCCTCGTTGTTCAATAGGAACCCATCGAAGTAACAACCATGGGCAATATGTACGTAAATTTCTAAACGATTTCGGCTCCTCTTGGAACTTCCTAACGAATCAGGAATCCCTGATTACACATAACATAATAAATATCTATCTTTGGATTAAGTATAAACATATAAGTATTTTATGAAATTCTTGTAATAAAACTCGGTGTATGTACGTAATACGGCAATATGTACGTAAATTTCTAAACGATTTCGGCTCCTCTTGGAACTTCATAACGAATCAGGAATCCCTGATTACACGTAACATAATAAATGTCTCTCTTCGTGTTAAGTATAAACATATAAGTATTTTATGAAATCCTCGTTATAAAACTGGGAGTACTTAAATCGCACGAAAATTACAAATATTTTTCGAACGGTGTTGGTGTGTCGTGGCGGGATAAAAAAAAAGTGGATTAAATCGAGCGCTTCTGAAATTTTGAGGCAACCCCTTTTCCTCTCGATTCCCTCCTTCGATCGTGGGTCTCTCTAATATATCGAACCCTCCCCTTCGAGGCGTTAGACAATCGATTTAATCGCTGAACTGTAAGCGAGATTGCGCTCCCCTCGGCAGGAGCGACGCCCAAGCGGAAACGCAGCGACGAAATCGCGGCGGAAAGTCGGGCGGGGGACGTCCTCTTCTTCTTTTTTCTTTTTTAATCGAGAAAGAGAGAGAGAGAAAAAAAGAGTGAGATTCAATTCGTCGCAGCTTTTCGGGCGACTTCCGAATGCCGCCTTCCCCTCGGTCGCTTTGCAATTCTTGGGGAGCTTCGAAATTGCCTCCCTCTGAATTTGACTCCTTTATTCCCTCCTCTGGCTTTGCCGCAAGTCTTTCGTTCCATCGCGATAAAGGCTTTCAATTGACTGCGATAAAAAAGTAACCGATGGTGTTTTCCTTGCCCTGGGAAAAATTACGGACCGATGGAAACCCAGGGTGGCAAATAATGAACCGTAGGCTTCCTAAAAGTAGGGGGTTGTTATTCAAGAAAACAGTGATGTAAAAGGAAAAAAATATCACTCGCTGGTTAATTGCCATCTCTAAGTAATTATTATTTAGTGGGTCTCAGATCTACCGCATAAATTTAACGTAAATAAATCTGGAATCGGGAAATAAAAGCATCCCCACGTGCTTGGTGCCGAATATCGGTGTACCGTCCCAGCTGATCAGTAATTATCATCCCGAAATAATTGTTATCAGTGGAAATCCAGAAACACATTAGATAGTTTTACTTTAAATAAGTATTAGAGTCATGAGATAAATAGACCTCGGTGTTAATTAATGAGGATCTGCAGGTCGAGGCTCTGCTTCGACGTCTCTAATCGCTTCCTATCCTATCCCATTTTTCTTTAATTTTATCTAATCGCGGTAAGCCATTTTTCTTGCGTTCATTCCATCAGACGTCATAATAATTTCGTCAATTCAATCGACGGGACTCAAATTCCCGGTCTTCTGTTTCACTCTATCCTCATTTTCTTCGCGAAGTCGGCCCCACTTTTCGAACTTTTCCCTCGTCCCCTCAGCGGGGCGTTATTGCATTTCGAATCGGCAACAATGGCAGCTTTCGACGAGCCAAGTGCTTTTTAACGGGAGTTCGGCTCGTAAAGCGACAAGTGGATGCTCATTAAACTTCCGTTAAAAGCCCCGAGCGTCGCGATCGCGCGTCAAATGAAAACTACGAAAAGCGTCCCCGTCCTCGCCCCAGGCCACCTCTTTCCTTTTATTTTCACGGGGAATTCGAGTTGCGACATTCGCGACACTCGCTATATATCGACACTGACAGTATCTTCCGGTGTTTCGCCTCCCCCTTTCTCCTCGCCCCTTTTCATCGCCTCCGCGCTTTTCTCTTCAACCTCTGATTCGCCATTATCGCGACGAGCCCTTGCATTTCCCTACCGAGATATTACGCTTTGATTGTTTTTCTCTGTCGGAGCTCAAAGTCGAAGGTTTGTACTTGTCGTTGAAAATTTATAGACCGAGAATAGTTAATCTCAATATAATTAATGAAAATTCAAGGACGATTTGTTACTCCACTTCCACGAGGCTTCCTTACTTAGCATCATTAAATCGCATCGAAATGACAAATTTCTTTATATCGGATTTCTAAAAAGATCATATGAATATCGCTTGTTACTACAATTTCTGACACCTCACAACCGCGATGAGTCCTTGATACGTAATAAAAACGTACAAATAGAATTATGCGTTATGTTCTAGGAGTATGAATTTACTACATTCTATATGCACTATTAACCTTAATCACTCCAAGCGGTAGTAATACTGCCAACTTTTTATAATATTCTTGGAGTGATAAGGGTTAATGCATTGCTCTCCAGAAAAAGTACATTACCCAAAAATCAAAGCGAAATCTCCGATAATCGTACATATTATTTTATCATATGCGTATATTACTACGAACTTACCTAAAATGATTTAAACCGTTCCCTTAGTGAAAATATTATATTCAAAGCAGCATTTTTCAAGGCTTAATATTTAATAAAGGTTTTAAAATACGATATATTAAGGGGGAGTATCCTCAAAACGATCCTCGTGCTTCGCTTTCCTCGTTGCGACAATTACGAGTGTCTCGCCATTAAGTAAACGATGTTACATCGGCGGTAATTCCTGCCCTCGGTCTCTCTTTTAACATCACTCGCAGAAATGGCACCGTATTCCGCAAATTGCTCGGTATTATTCACTTATTTACCCGGGCCCCCCGCGGAGAAACGCCGTGGCGAGGTTAACGCGGAAAAGGGGTTGGCGAAGGTTTTGCAAATCGGAGGAGGAGGCTCGCTTCTACGTAGGATGTAATACAAAGCTCGGGTGGAAGCCCTCGGATGGAAAGTAACGTCGTTACATCGCGTCTTGCGGGTAAAACGCATCCCGCAAGACGATTATTCGCGTCGGGCTCGACGAGAGACGAGCTCACGTTTTTGCCCTCGCGATTCCGCGAGCTCGAACGACTGCAGGACAAGTAAAACAATTTCGGGAAAATTGTTAGAGAGTATTCCCCCTCCTGCGCAGGGAAACGCTCTCCATTCGCGGTTATCATGCCTTCCGAAAAGGAAGATAAAAAAATTAAAATACGACCACGGCAATGCCTCGCTTATGCAGCTTGTCTGCATTAAACAGTTTTAGGCTCCCCTTCCAGGATCTTTTTACATGCATATTCTGAAGGAGTTATAAAGTCTGCATAACGCGTAATTACACATCTTGAAATTGACATTTTCGCGCCGAGGAGGAGAGGAAATGGGACGGTATCGATAACGCCATGATTGAGTATAATAATTACGAAATCTCTCTAGAAAGAAGAATTGACCAATGTTCGAGGAAACGAAACATGGAGATAAATACAGAATTGAATACATCATTAAACGGCGTAATTCGAGGCTGCCCTGCAGATTACAATTTTTTCCCATGACATTTCATTCGAATTTCTCTTGTTTTTACTGTCATTTTTTCAAATGCCCTTTAAATTTTAATTCTAATTTTTCCGGGTCTTAAGGTGATACGAAAGTGTCATGTGTGTGTATATATATATATACCAAAACGTCAAAATGTTTATAAAACTTTTCTCCAAACTGGGTGCACCGAATCGTTGGAAACTTCAACACGTGATTATGGAGGTGGTAGACCTTGAGTAAATGCTTTCAGATGAATTTAGATCTCCCGGGAGGGAGCTCTTTCATTTTTTCCCGTACCTTTCCTGGCGAAATCGTTCTGTTTCGAGTACAGATTCCCTCGGGACTCTCGTCGGATTCCGGGAGATCGCGGGTCCGAAAATGTCCCAGGTCCGTCTAGCTGTCCATTAAAATGGCGAAACTCGCTTTCTGTCCCACAGAGCCGAACTTCGTGGGGTCCTTCGACATCGGGAGCTACGTTTTCTTCTTCTTCCGCGAGACCGCGGTCGAGTACATCAATTGCGGAAAGAGCGTGTACTCGCGGGTTGCGCGGGTCTGCAAGCGGGACACCGGCGGCAAGAACATCCTCTCCCAAAACTGGGCGACCTACCTCAAGGCTAGACTCAACTGCTCGATTCCTGGCGAGTTTCCCTTCTACTTCAACGAAATACGTAAGTCATCCGTCCACCTTTACTAGAACAAAATCTACTCATCACCACTTGAACGAAAATGCCCCAACACCTCCACCAAGAATGCGAATCCTGTATTTAAACAATTTCCTTTTAACAGTTGTACGATCGGCTATCAGACATCTTATTAAGATAGAATGTCTCGTGTCGAAGATGAAGTGAACTCAAATTTTTGGCGGTCACATCCCCGCGATTTATTTTACTCCCTGTGCTTCTTTCCTCGTAAAAAGAGTTAAGTTAAAAAAAAAAAGGGCGTCTTCGAATTTGTAATCTTTCCATTTTACGCTTGTCATTTATGAGGTGTGTCGGAATGAAGATAACTTTCATCAATATTCATCAACGTAATTTTTAAGTGAAGAAACTCGTGCCTGTATGTGTCTACTTATACGGTAAAATAAGTGAAGACTCAAATCGAGTAATTACACAGCGAGAGAAGGTATATACGCCCCGCCCTCAATTTACGCGATTTTAAAGAGTCATTATTTTTTCTTTGTTAGCTACTTGAAATAAATATGTATTTCTAAAGCTTACACGTACTAGTTTTTGTTTACAATTTTTTTTTTCTTTTGTAGCGATAGACTTTATTATAGCGATTTTCATTCGCGTAAAACGAATCCACGTGGAGGAAATACTCCGCGTTAATTGAGGGCCGGGGATACGTATGTACATACGTACGTATATGTACGTACGTATGTATACGTACACGTACATTTGGATCGGTACCCTGATTTCAGAGAGCATCTACAAGGTGCCGGGCGACGACACCCACTTCTACGGGACCTTCACGACCTCGACGAACGGGTTGATGGGTTCGGCGATCTGCTCGTTCCACATCGACGCGATCCAAGAGGCCTTCCGGGGGAAGTTCAAGGAGCAGGCGACGAGCAGCAGCGCCTGGCTTCCGGTGCTCTCGAACAAGGTGCCCGAGCCTCGACCTGGACAATGCGTTAACGACACCGAGACCCTGCCGGACACCGTCCTCAACTTCATCAGGTCCCACCCGCTGATGGACTCGGCGATCTCCCACGAGAACGAGAAGCCGGTCTTCTACAAACGGGACGTAATGCTCACCAAGCTGGTGGTCGACAAGCTCAGGATTGACTTCGTGGGCATGGACCTCGACTACACGGTCTACTACGCGGGCTCCAGTAAATACGCTTCCGCCTCTCCTAACGACGCTTCGCCCTCACTCCTGAGTTTGCCTAGACCGAGTCTTTGAGTCAAAGACCAGCTGAAATCTGGTGCAATTAGGACCGGCCACCTCTTCGACGAGGCACTTCCTGGGGACCTGGCCCAATTTCGAGACCTCCTTTTTTGCCCCAATTGTCGATTCCCGGGAAGCGAGATCTTAAGAGGATATGAAAGGCGCTAAGAAATTCAATCGACGTCGATGAAATGAAATTCATGTGTATACCCCAATTCGGAAAATACTTTCCCCAACGATTTGACTTCTCAGACACATATAGGCTGACTCCTTCATATCCTCTTAGCTCAAGATGATCCTCGATGCTGGTCTGGGCGAACTGCATCCTGGAGGGTGAAGTGGACGCTTGGGATCTTCCGGAAAGGAGTTCGAATGGACTCGATCTGGAATTAGTTGATCATTGTCTTACTGGTTGGATGTGTAAGGTGCTGATGGTTGGTTCCAATGATTACAGGTGATGGTAGGATCCACAAGGTGGTCCAGTGGCTGGACAACAACGGTGAGTCCCAGTCGATCCTGCTGGACGTCTTCGATGTCACTCCTGGGGAACCCATCCAGGCGATGGAGATCTCCAAGGAGCACAAGGCACTTTACGTCGCCTCGGATCATCGGATCAAGCAGATCGATCTGGTGATGTGCTCGAAGCGATACGACAACTGTCTTCGTTGCGTCCATGATCCTTACTGCGGGTGGGACAAGGACACGAATACGTGCAAACCTTACGCACCTGGGTAAGTAAATGACCAGAAACTCTCAATCTATCATATCATTGATGAAGACGAGTTACGTCCATAATTAATTACCAAGGAATATCTTCCTATTCGTCAGCCATAAATTCTAAGGAGCCAGATTTATTAACAATGTCTCTTTGAAGACGCACCACTAGAAGTGTCGTAGTCCAAATCTTTCCCTCCCATTCAGTCCTCTTTATAGCTTGGAATTTCTTCCCGTTTCAGACTTCTCCAAGACGTGTCGAACAGCACGGCAGACGTCTGCGACAGCAGCGTCGGCAAGCGTAAATTGGTGGTGACCTGGGGCCAGTCGGTGCACCTGGGTTGCTTCGTGAAAATGCCAGAAGTCCTGGCTAACCAGGAGGTGCGGTGGTACCACTACAGCAAGGAGAAAGGCCGCTACCAGATAGTGTACAAGTACGGGGCCGGCAGCGATAAGTTCATCGAGACCTCGGAAAAGGGCCTGGTGATCGTCGGGGTGAACGAGCAGGACGCCGGCAGGTACGACTGCTGGCTAGGAGGTGCTCTCCTCTGCTCGTACAACATCACCGTGGACGCGCATCGCTGCTCAGCTCCGGCCAAGTCCAACGACTACCAGAAGATCTACTCGGACTGGTGTCACGAGTTCGAGAAGTACAAGTCAGCCATGAAGAGCTGGGAACGGAAGCAAGCGGTAAGTTGGGAGCACTTTCAGCGTCCTCTTCCTTCATTCGCCCTGAAGTTCCCCTCTCAAAGGATACAGGATGTGGATGTCAGATCCCGTGGATGTCTTATTACCCTGCCTCCCATGCTGTAGGATGACCGTGGTTAATCTGTAAACACCATGGCGAATTAATGACATTGAATCATGAAACCGTAAAATGACAAAAATTGAACTGGAGAGGCTATACATTTTTTTTTACATTCGTTTTCATAAATTTCGAAAGAACACGCGATAGCGCACCTCGTCTCCTTTGCATCGGGTCCACCTCTAAAATTGGACTCATGCCTCATTACCATATGCGCGGAAAAGGCGCTTTTCCGTGTGCATGGAAATGAGGCATCATCTCTCATAAACCTCCCTTCATATAGCGACATCGATTCATCTACAAATGTCCATCGGTTTAATTTCTAAATCTTTCCGATGAGATCCTAAAACCGAATGTCCATTACAAAAGAGAGAATACGCGGAGGAAACGGAGCCAGGTCTAATTAGAGTCCTTCTCCTTTAAATTCCAGCAATGCGCATCCCGGCAGAACGACAGCAATCAGAACGTGCACACGAACGAGGTGTACGGCACACCCTTGGTGTGATGGAGCCGGAAGCTGGACCCCTCGTCGAGCCAAGACTACGAGACGATGATTCGCATGAGCATGCTACCGAGAAGCCAGGCGTCATCTAACCAGGCGCTGCAGCGAAACTCCTTGATCCTGATCCTGGCATCGAGCTACTCGTGGCATCGCTATCACGACTGGTTCCAGCGCTAATCACACCCCCAGCAGGCGTACCAGGACGCGTCCTCGTCGTCGAAGCTGCCGCGGACCTCGAAGACAGGAGAGCCCTCGTCGCGGGTCTCGCGGTGTCCAGGCCAGTCGTTAAGTAATTGTAATTCCCTCTTCTCCGGGCCCTCCCGTCTTTTTATATCCGCTTGCTGTAAATACCGAGCATCCGCGAGAGACGGCCAGGGACCCGCGAGTCGGCGAGGGTTTGCAGAAGCGAGTCGGAGGGGACCCTCTTCGGAGTCGTAGCAGTCTTCGAGGCTCGCCCCGCGCCCGAGCCGGGGCCAGCTTCGGACCCGTCCACGCCGGGAGCGCCAGGGCGAGGGGGAGGAAGCCCACTCCCGAAGGAAGTATGTAAAGTACATTCTCTCTTCTGTTCTCTTAGACCTGTGATATAAGTAGAGGTGTTGGAGTGCACGGGCATACATACCGATTTCCGGGCTCCGGGCTGGCCCTCGAATCCCGAGGAGAGCGGACGCCGGGCAGAGGACCCGGGGCCTCCTAGCGGCTGGAAACAATCATGAACGACTGTGTGTGAGTGAGTGTTACGACATAGGGTAGTATCGAATAACGCGGTAATAGCGATAGGGGGCGATATCGGAGAGTAGCTACGGTCAGGCGAGGCTTGCGGACCCACCGCGCGCACTCCGGGCCCGGAACTCGCGTCCTGGGAGTCCTGGGGACCCGGCAGGAGGCTCCCCGATCACGAAGACCGGCGTCTTCGAACCGAAGAGACTTCCCACGAAGTCCCGGCTCCCGGTCGAAGACCCCCTTTCCCCGGACCTGGACTCATCTGTACGTGGGGAGGACCCCTACCGCTCGAGGATGCGGTCCCTGACGGCGACTTTCATCCGCGAATCCCGGCCCCTGCCTCCGGGAATCTCTCTCCCTGGACGTCGGTCTATCATCCCCTGGTCCTGGGGTGAAGACACCCGACAACTTGGCGGATATCGACCCGAGCCTCCGAGCCCCGTCCAACGCGTGTCCGCGGACCCGCTCCGGCGCGGCACGCAAGGTTACACATGAGATTATAAAGTACCAGCTTCTTCGTGAGAACGTCGTTTCGTGCGACCGCCTTGACGGTTTTTTTTTTTTCTCTACCCTCCTCTCTTTCTTCTTTTTCACCCCCTGCATAGTTTCTACCGACTCGCTGTCCTCCCTAGTTCTCTATTTCGGGCCCGCGACGTTCGCACGTCAGCTCGGCCCGGCGACGACACGCGACTTCGCCCCCGCCGCTGGCTTTTCGCTGTTTTTATTTCCTGATCATCCTCGACCACTCGTTACAACCCTAGTTCCGAGTCATCGCGTGCCGTTCACCTAGATTTATTATCTCTTGTTTATTTGGAACCCCCCCTCGACGTCTCCGTGGCGTCAAGTCGTCTCATCCTCGCGACCTCGCTTCTCGCCGCCATCTTTATTTCCGGATAGTAAGCTCGAATCATCGGATTTCGTTAGTTAAACCTACTGATTATCCAGTTATTTAACTTCTTAGCCTTAAGTATACCGTTTCTCCTCGTCTCTGTACTCCACGTAACAGCGGATTTCTTCAGGTTTAAGTTCACCGTCCCCACGTCACCATTCATCACGCTCCGCTCCTAGATTATAATCATTTACCGCTCCCCCCATATCATTTATTATACTTAACATTAATTTCAAAGCGCATCCTAAGTGCATGCGCGTGCTTCATCGTCGTATGATAAGTGTTCATTTTTTTTTTCCACGCGCATTGTAATGATCATTTATGGTATATACACCCCTTATCAATTTCTCGCTGTTAGGGGTTAGTGAGCGTTCCTACGTCGCACCTTCTTAAGCCGTTCATAGGGCGAACCGGATGATTAGGGACATGACTAGGTGTTCGCATCGGGGTTTTATCGGCGATTTGGAATCGATACTTATGATCGGACCTCTCGTTTAAGTCGCGCCCGTCCGTGCGTTCACGCGTTGGAGGTTCAAGCCGTGAACCAGAGGTGTCAAGAGGACGTTAACCCGACATACACACGTGTCAAGGTGCTAAGGCTCTCGTAAATCGTTTTTCGCCAAGCGTTTATCTCGATCATCCCGATATGCCATCCCCTCGGGAAGTGAAGCCCCCCGTGAATAGAGCGCTCTTATACGCGGGAGCAAATCGCCAATGCGTGATTACACGCGTATATCTACTGTACATATGGAGAAGAGTTCTTAATCGGTAAAGACATAACTCGGTCGAGAACTGGCGGTTCGCCAAGGCGAACGATCCTCTTTCGAGGCGTAATCCTCGAAGTCCAGGTGAACATTGTACGTGGACTTTGTATGATTGTATTAAGACTGGACGCTCGCGTTGTTCGGCGCTATCGTGGGGATGATTTAAATAAAACCGGAGCGTCTCGATGCAGAGGTTTAAGATCCACCAAGGAGACGTCGAAAGCCGGTTGCATCGAAAGAAATCCGAAGGGAAATCTCGAATGATTTTTTGCACGATTTAATATCAAGTCACTATGTCATTGGAATGAATTACTCGATATATTTCATTTAAAAGGACATTTTATGCCGAATTTTTCAGCCTCTAAGAGCTCACAATTGAAGTATTTAAAGTGCCGGATATAGCAAGGCCATCCTTTGATCTTAGAATTTCACCTCGTTTTACACATTCAACAAAATCATATATTCGAGAGTTGTGTGCGAAAATGTGTGGAAATTTAATAATTTATATATCTCCTGTAGTACATTAAGTACAACCGATGTTAATGATAAGATGTTTAGTACTGACGGATTGGCCTATTTATTTTTTAAAAGCGTTCAAAGACATCTCTCTCTCTCTCTATAGAGATTAACGGTGAGGTTTTCTACCGCTATCAGATTTACCTAATGCTTGTTAAAAAAAAAATGTTTATCGCGATTTCCCTTCGGTATTCTAATCTGTGCAGCCAGGACGATATCGGTCTCCGTCTGGGAAGTCCTTAAAAAAAAAAAGACCTCCCAAAATGTAGGACGCGTCGAGACGTCCCCGCGCGACTTGTACTATACTAGGTATATAAAGAGGAGAAAAAAAAAAAGAGTGTAGGGAGGTCATGACACCTTTCTATGTACGGATTTATGTTCCCTAAAGGCAGTGATAGCTCGTTCTTGCCCCTAAGTTTGTACATACATGTGTATGGTGTTTTACATGTGCCGCGACTCGTCGAGGCCCGACATAACCTCGACGTATGATTTTTCTCGTTCCTCTGCGTTCCCGGATTTCCGTGAGAAATACCGGGAAAAGTGCGCAAAGAGCGAGTGCTTCGAGCGCGCGTCTCCTCCTTTCAATTCTCGGGCGAATCGAGGGTATATACATATAAATAAATATATAAGTACATATTATATATATATATATACTTATGTATGTGCGTCTACACACGAAGGCTCTTAGGTTCTGTACAAAGGCGTTCCGTTCAAATGTCGCGTTCAGAAAGGCCGACGTTTGTGTCGGGAGACTATTTAATTTTGTACCTTGTCGGCGGTAGCATGGGGAATAATCAATAAAAACAGAGAGACCGAGAGAAAGAGAGAGAAAATGCGATGGGAGAGAATGATAGCGCGAGGAGAGATGGAGCGAACGAGAGACCGAACGCGTGGATGTGCGACATGGGTTCATAGAGACAGTAAGGATAACACAATAATTGGTAATGTAATCTTCGAGGTATGTACTTATTACGAGCTTCAACAAGTATTGAATAGTATTATGTGACTTAAGGATAAGGACAACTCGGGTTAAGGACAAACTAAGCGCGTAAGGGACGGGCCAGCCAGTAAGTTGCTACGAGTAGTTGGTAGGGCCGCGCTTCGAGTTTCCGTTTTTTTTTTTTATTCGAGAAAAAGCTCTCGACTTTTTGAGTCTCCGGCATTTTCTCAGCAGCTTGGCGCGACTAGAAGCAGCATTTCGAGGGGAAAAAAGCTCACGCGATTTCTAACAACCTCGGAGATCCATTTTCGGAAAAAGCCAGCGCGACGCTGCAGTTGATTCGAGAATCGAGACTCCGATTTTCGAGGAGAAAAGCTCACCGCGATTTCAAATCTAATTCTGAGGCTCCATTGTCGGAAAAGCTCCCGCGAGTCGAGTTTCGATTTTTCGGGAAAGCTTACCGACACTACAATTCCAATTTCGAGAGTCTATATTCGAAAAAAAAGCTCGCGGTACTGGAAATCGATTTTCAAGGCGGTCTTTTTCGGATAAAGCTCGCGAGACTCGCACTCGAAATTCGAGTCTGCGTTTTCTCGAGGTTCTTGGGAAAAGCTCGCGCGACTTTGAATTCGAATTTCGTGTCTGCGACTTTTTGGAGAACTCGAAATGTTCTGCCGATCGTTGTCTCCGTTGTCGGATCGCCGGATGCGTCACGGATGCTCCACGGAAGCTCCACGGAAGCTCCACGGAAGCTCCACGGAAGCTCCACGGAAGCTCCGCGGAAGCTCGAAGCGCGCTGCGATCGAAACTCTAAATATCTACCTGTACTATCGAAAACTCCCGCCAGCATTAACGAGACACACCTCGATACTCGATGTCGAAGAGCATTTTAAATACGGAGAGAGAGACTCACACGCAGAGACACACCCGCTGCGGAATACGTAAAGAATAGTAATCTACCTATCAGACTAAAGAGAAAGCTATAAGAGAGTAAAGCGAGCGTAAAACTACGGTAAAGGGGAAGAAAAAAAAAAGTAAAAGAATACGGAGGCGTACGTGTTCTGTGGACGAGGGGACCGACGCGCGGTTGACGGGAGCTTTTTAACATGCTACCTTCAAATTCGGGAATAAAGCAGAATAATGAACGAAGCACGTTAAGCCCGACCAGTGTCATTAATTTCTTCCTATATTCATCGCAAGCGATAATAACTACGGAATTACCTTCGATAATCCATAAAGTGATTTTACCCAATATTATTTCGAAACACACTTTTTCGGCGTCGTAATTCCTTCCCTCTTTGCCGATATACGATGAACATTGCAGTCTGCATTTTTTTGTTTCAAAAACTGCAAAATTAGTAATTGTCGATGGAATTGGTCTCAGTTTAAGGGAAGCTTTCTTCGTTTCGAGGAAAGTCATGAAATCGATGTCGAAGTGGGGACAAACCGGCGTCGTTTGAGTGTCAATCGACAGCCTTGATTTTTACAATATAACGAAGAATCGATTTTCACAGGGTGGAGAGTTTCGATATCCTAACATTAAGGTGCTCTCTCGCATCGATCGAGAACGGCTTTCGCCAGCGACGCGTCGGCGCTCTTAAGGAAGGTGGCGTGATTACGGAAAGCAATCTAAGATGAACCTAAAGTTGTTAGACATATTATTTATAAGGATTACCGACTACTGTATGTTATTTCGGCCATTCGGCAGGACCAGGCTGGGACGTCGAGAGGTCGTCCTCGACCTCGAATTCTCCGTGATTTCCATCCATATCGCCCCCTCGGGACTTTTCACCCCGACCACCCCTTTTCAATGACAGCAATAAAGAATAGAAATAATGACATCAATTATTTCTGCTCCTCAAGGACCT